ACTCTTTCCATATATTCTGTTGGAATTTTGTCTTTCTTAGCTGCTTACCATTTGCTCTTTTTAGTGCTAAATTATTCTATCCTCCCAGTCTCTATCTCCTAACCTCAAGTATGTTTCTCCACTCCTTTTCCCCGTAAAGTTAATTAACACCACTAACCTCTTACAAGTACTCTGTTCCCATGAATTCTAATTCTCCTCTATCCTCTAGTGCTCCAGCACCTGCTTTCTATTTATTAAACTCAAACACATCGTCTGGAACTTTACTATTGTGTTCAGAAAGAATTTTGCTTAAGATTGGTACTTTTTAAAAAAAAAAAAAAGCAGCACCACAATCTCCAGGTGCTGAACAGAGTAATACTGGGATATGTAAGTGACATCTTTGCCCCATGTCCCATTGCATAGTCTGAGTATCTGATAGTAATATTGTTGGTGATGCTGAATGCAGCAGGTACTTATTTTCTGATCTCCCAAATCAGCATGAAAATTACCTTCTTAAACTTTATTCCAGAATGATCACTTCAATCCATCACAAAACCACATATATCTGAACCACAGATGAGGGAGTATTAAATTACTACTTCCCTATCTTAACCAGGGCAAGGAAAATTCCAGTATGAATATTAAGGTCTATAAAAACAGTGGCAACACACTCACACCATGTGATTTCTAGGAGGCTCTTGAACGTATTCCTTATTTTTTGCCACCACCATACTCTTACAGTGTTTGTACCAGAAGAAGGTATCAACTAGCAAAAGGGATTTAATGTTTAGGCAGATTTTCTAGGTATTGGGAATCTCTTGTGAATCATGTCACACCATTTAGTAGTACTTATATTTTCAAGAGGCTTGTTTAATATTATTCTTTTTCTCAGCTACAGACTTAAAACACAGACTTCAAACAATTCTGAAAGTTACAAAGTGTGACTCTCATCTACGTTGAACTCATGAAATTCTCTAACTGGTGTGCCACAAGCAGCACACACTGAACTGTTCTGTTTTCAGTAGTGCTCCATATGCACAAATTTATCCTCATAGATCTCTTTGCATGACTGGAGACTGGGTGATAATTTGCATACCTTAGCAAGGCCAGTGGAATGCATACCTATTCGAGACATAGCGTAACTATCCAGCACGTACACAAGTTCATATTTTCCTCCTACAGTTCCAGAGACGGCATAGTGAGTTCCATAATCTTCTAGGAATTTGAAATATTCCCCCTTATCATATTCAGCAGGCAGAAAGTTCAGATCATCAAGGAAACTATCTGTGAGATGGACATCACGACTCCGCATTTGGAATCTTCCCAGCTGAATCTTTCCTTTTACATACAGAAAGGTTTGGTTCTGAATGCAAAGAGAATAAAGCAGATGAGAGTGCCATTCTGTTATGCAGCACAGCAGGAGAATCTCTTTTGTTTTACTTCCAAAGAAACTGCAGCACTTTTAAACATGTTATTCAATCTAGAGTTTTGGAAGAGGAACAAACTTTGTAAATTCAAATTAAATACTCTCCAATTTAAACTGAAGAAGCAGCAAGAGATTTAGATCATTTCAGTTCTTCCAGTTTTGCAGAACTCTCCCCTTACTAATTTCAGCAAGCTCTTTGTGATCTATTTGACAACAAGGTCTCTCTTTAAGGACAGTATCTACTGAAAGTGCCTTTCTGACTTTCATGACATTGAAAAGTAATTCCATACGGCTTGCCAGATAACTGAAGCTGCCCACTGAAGTCAGCTGCAGTTTTGTCTTTGTTTATAGTCAGGGCAGAACTAAGTTCTCTCTTTTTTTGGATCACTTCTCTGTTATTCTCAGACTGTCAGAAGGAAGTGCACAGCTCCAATTAAAAACAAAAACAACTCCCAAAATAACATAATAAAATGAAAATTAATCAGGAAAAAATCCCTTTGAGGCATTTGACCCATACATACGTTCTAACTCTAGGTTTAGTGACTACTTTTTTTCATAAATTACACTGCAGATGGTTTTATATCATAATCTAAACTAGGACCTAGCTGCTGCCAGTAACATATGACAACTTGTGAAATAGTTGCACTTAAGACTCTAAGCAAACATGTGCCTTCCAACCCCCATTATTATCTACAGTACTTATGTGACTCCCTTAACAGTAATGCCTAACAGGAGCTATGTAGAAAGGATTTAGCAACTGACCATCACATTAGCTGGCTCCATTTAAAGGATCTTAAACTGCTGACTCACATGCTGCTTAGGACTGGCAGAAATCTTCAGGCATCTAAATCTCTGTGAGGAAATCTTTGTAGGTGCAAATATTCCTGCCATCCAGCATGTACAAAATCCCTTACTCTGCTGGTGTCCCAAGGATACTCCTGGCTTTAACTTGCAGGTGAGCCCTGGAGGGTTCTCTACCAGGGACTGCCACTCCACTAAACTGCCGCAACGTGAGTTTACACTGATAGACCTTTGCCTTTCACAGAGCAAAACTCATTTTCTGAACTGATCTCTGAGCAAGAATTTGAGGCCAAAACTCCTATCACAAGCCACTAGATCATGAGCAGTCTGCAATATACCCTGAGATACAGAATTTGATCTTCTGCGTCTGTGGAGATGAATGCTTTGAGATTTAAATGGTCCGATTCCATCCCAAGAAAGTCAGTGCTGAATATCAGCTTCTCTTTATAGTACAGACCTATCTCTTGAGCATTATTTTAATTAATCAGTTATAAAAGTTATCTTCATTTTCCTTTATATACATTTGATCTCCAGTGCTCTGAAGGGGTCCTAGACAACAAGGGTGACAAGAAACTTGAAAGATTGAATTAGTCGAGGCAGATGTATTCTTCCTTGCATGTGGTGGATTAGGCCATAGTGTCTAGCATGTCTAGTGACCTCACTAGATGTTAAGACTGCTTCTTTAAGAGTAAATGAAATGGAATAGGACCTTTCCTCTGTCTCAAAGGGCTGGTAGAGTGGTATAGCTTATGCGCAACTCCAGCATAGGCTTGCTTCTCCAGACTGTCTACTGGGAACATTCCTTTCAGACATGCTGCAGGGGACCACAGGATGAGCATTGCTTATGAGAGCATGAGAGCTGGCACAGACCAAAATCACGGCAGCAGTGTGCTCGTAAAACTACAGATTATTGTGTGCCAGTGCTAATGCCCGTGCGTGCCTCTTAGCCTAGGCTAGTTTATTAGCACAGACATACTTGAATGGCTGAGATCTGATCTTTCAGTTATTATTCTACGTCTATTTTGAGTTTACCTAGTGTAGGCCTACTCAGTGGCAATTTTTATTCCAGGACCTGACCTAATTTTCCACACTGCACTAGATCAGACCTGCTCTCTAATCAAGATGAGATCAGGGATCTTTGGGTCTTTCTAACGTCAAACCCCTTTTGAAGATGACTAGTTTCTAGTCAAGGGTAAACAGTGGGAAGATGAAGCTACATTTGGTTACAGTTTGGCCAACTCTGAAATCTTAACCCTAGTATTGCCAGTTTTTAACTTTTGTGAATAAATTACAGAAAACCAGCATGCAACTAGAATATTTAGAAAGATTAATATTGTGTTATTCTAACACTGTAAATTTTACTGTTTGTAAAATAGTTACAGTAAATGCTTTAGCTTGGTTAAACTTACCCTTTCTGTGGAGCTTTTCAGGATAGAACTTAAACTCGAATTCTTGCTATAGTGATACTTGAAATTTCCTTCTGAACCATTTTTGTTACTTCCTTCAGTTGGTGTGTATTTCAGGGACAGGTCAGCATTAAAGTATTTTTGCTTTTCTATGTAAACCTCTCGTAACATTTTTACACGATCATGATAGAACACAGATGTGAAGGTTTTGTCTGCTTTCGTCTTAGAAAAGAGAAGGAAAAGGTTGTATGAGAAAACAAAACAGGCAGTAATAGAAAAATCAATGTAGCACTTTAAAGTTATATGTCTTACGTAGCTTAGCAATACATTTTCTTACAGCTGTTTTTCCTTTTAAAATAAAACAAATGGAAATACCACCCCCTCTCCAAACGACCTCATCTGGATCAGCTCAGTGGTTTAAAACTAAACAGAAAACTACAGTGACGATATTTCAGTGGGTGTTAAATCTCAGCATGTAATACTGTCAAAGTAATTTATGTGTGTCAACAGTTCCTTCACATGTAAGAAGTAGTAGTCTCCAGCTCCTTCCTAGAACATAGACAAGATTTGCTACTAGGTCCTGACATCTGAAATTAATTAGAATTATGGTTTTGCTTTCTTATAGCAGACAATAGCTAATTCAGAATACCTTTTTTAGTGTTGTGGAGGGTTTTTTGTATACTTTAGCAGAAGATACAATTTTAGTAGCTGAAAATGGTTATGCATCAAAATCAAATATGAACAAGGATGCCTGGGCCATATTTACTCATTTTGGGCAGGGTCTGGTTTAAATTGTCATTGTTCTATGAAGTTTCTAGTTACAGTGATAGGCAGAGCATTTGGTAAGCAAAATACTGCTTTGATTTCTGAAATGCATCTGACGTTGATTTTCTAAGATCATCAACATTTTTAGTGTTTGAACAAGGCTGGAAGTCATAGTCTGAATCTCAAAAGCTGATTAGATTTTTTTTTTCAGTGGCACAGAGAAAGTCATCACTGATGAGGAAACCCAAACAGGACTAGAGTATCATAATATTGTTCCTGCCTTTTTATCAGTGTCTTTTGTGTGTCCTTGAAAATGTAACTTGGTTGCTACTGCTCTACCTAGTAAAAGTTAGGTATCATATTCCTTTCTGTAGATCTCCTGTACATCTCATCCACTCATATTATAAACATTCCAGAAAGATAGTTTCACTTACTAGCAGGGGCTTGTTGACAGGGCTTCAAACTAGACTCAAAGGGGGCGTGGGATAATATCGGAACCAACTGTGGGATGACACATCAAGGTTAGAACGACAGTGTGCTAGCAAGGTCCCTCAGCCTGTTGCACCAGAGAAAGACCTCAGAGGAACTTAAGGAGTTTTTTCTTAGAGGATGACATGGCTGACAGCCCAGCTGAAGTGCCTCTACACCAATGCACGCAGCACGGGCAACAAACAGGAGGGGCTGGAAGCCACCATGCTGCTAGAAAGCTGTGACTTGGTTGCCATTACTGAAACTTGGTGGGATGAATCCCATAACTGGAGTGCAACTACGGATGGCTACAAGCTGTTCAGAAGGGACAAATGAGGAAGAAAGGGCAGAGGCTTTGCCCTCCGTGTCAAGAAATGGATAGAGTGCAAAGAGCTGTCTCTGCAGAATAGCCACGAGCTGGTCGAAAGCTTATGGGTAAGGATCAGAGACCAAGGCAACAAAGGGAACCTTG